TATCAAACCCTTTGTTTTGTTTTTGTGAAGTTGATATTATTTTGTGCAAATTAGAACTGTTTGTTTCAAGCAAATTGGATTATTTTAATATGCCTGGGAAAGTAGTCATTAGACAAGCAATATGTTTGAATTCGATTAATTTTTAATCTGTATACATTTATAACAGAGAATTAGCTTTCTTTAAAATAGCATCCACAATATTTCATAGTAAGACTGCAGTCTTCATTTGTWACAGAAATTGCAGTGAAATTAAGCAATTTGAAATATCAAAATAAAAGTTGTTGATATGAAACACTTGAGGACAAATGTACTGTTGAAAAGTTTTAGTTGGCATGGAGTGGTGTTACAGAATCTGCTATAACATGAAATGAAAGTGGGGTGGGACAAAAACCTGTACAAACTGAACAAATATTGTAAAATAAATGAAATTGATTCGAAATTTTAAAAACAGAATGAGAAAATAATGGGAATTCYTGCCTAATTCTACATGTACAGACTTTATAATTATTTGAATGTAATGAGTCATGGCATACTATCTGATTATCGTGTCGAAAGAAAAAGAAATCTAAAAACAAAGAGATGGTGACGAAAACCAATGAGTCATAAATACATATTTTTCACCTTTGGGTCAAAACAAGGCTTACTTCTAATCTCTCCGATCTTTGTAATAAAAACTGGACGATTCCTTCTATCTTTCTATATCTCAAATATAACTTTCTTGTAAGGAAAATATCAAATTAAACACACCAAACGGAGGAAACAAGATTTATTTTGATAATAGCACAAAAACGAAATGTTAAATGCAGGTTAAAGGGAATTATTGCTCAAGCTGATGGCTTTATTTTGCTTTCGATTTGGCGAAATTGTTGAGAACGCAACGAGCAATGAACTCAAAAATTAGGTTTCAACCACACATATTTGCTAAAACTTTGACATTTTCTGTCAGAAAAAAACAAAGTCATGATATAAAGGAKACCAAGTCTTGAAGTCACGCTAATAGTTGACTAACCTCTTTGAATTCTTCAAAATCAATTTCTTCGCCATATTCTTCTTTCAAAGTCCTCAGCTGATGTCCAGGTATTTTTAGGTCAAGATTGGCAAGTAAATCCTGGATTTCCTCCTTCTCAATGAAACCACTTTTATTTTTATCGAGCTAGGAGAAAATTTCGTATATTATTGCCTTTTTACTGGCTCTAGGAGCCCCTAGTGACAACATTGTACATTAATAATTGGCACTGTTCGTCTACTTACTTCGTCAAAAGCCTCTCGATAGCGGGGTAATTCTTCCTCAGGAATACGACCAGTACGACCCTCTATCTCTGCCATATTGTAACAAACTCGAGGAAAAAATAAAAGAGAAAAACGGAGTAAAATAACRCAGCAAGTTTGTGAATAAGTGTGGGCAGTGCCGTGGTTATTTGTGAGTTATAAACGCCGTGCAATAAGATAGTCAATTCTGATTGGTCCAGATATGGAAAAGTTCCAAATAAGGTAATAGGAGAAAAATACAGGCTGGCGTTAATTTGCATAAACAGCGGACTACATCCGGTCTGGGTCTAGTGGAGTATATTCCGACGCTTTAAGTAAACCTTCCTGGATTAGCGTCAGTCTCTTTTTTTCTCTGTAACATGATTCTAAACGTTTCACTGCAACATGACTATTTGCATGACACATAAGTGTCCATCTAATCACAATATCAAGTGAATATATATTGAAATATTTCCATTATTTATGCTTTCAAAGATGCGGGCGCATCCAAAATGAAATTCCTGTGTCGCCCAGTTCCGTCCAGCGATCTAATGAAATACTATTATTGGACAAGCAAAGGGAAATACTCTTRATTATTGCACGGCTTAGAGGATGAYTTTTSATTTTCACAGGCCCTTTTGTTTGGGCTATAGCTCTCGAGGGGTYCGAGCTGGCTCGATGTAATTGAGTTAAATTAAATTGGTTCAAGGCAGTGATTATCARAATTGAATATTAAAATGTATCTGTTTCGTTTATTGGAATGTTTCCTGCGAATTTKGGCCGAGAATCAGTTCATAAAGCGCGATTCTGTTCAAGTTTCGAGTGGTCATATCTATCATTAAAACGAACGCTTGGAAATGTCTATTATAACAATTATTAAACAATGTCAACTATTTCAAGTCAAGTAAACATTTACTGAAGCGCAACCGAGTCTTCATTGTGCAATCATTAACAGACTGGCATGGCAGGTTCGTTATAAGATACTCTGAAAAAATAATGAAACAGCAAATCYAAATATTGATTTGGAAAGAGACGGTGCTAATGATTTGATATTATGGTGGGCAAATGAAAAAGGAATGAAATAGAGAATGAAAGCAAATCAAAAGAAAGGGAGCAAGAAAGAAAGAAAGAAAGCGTGAATGTATGAATGGATTAATGGATGAAAGGATGGAAAAATGGATGGATGAATAAGTGAATGAGATAAATGAAATCACAGTAGCACAAGATAGAAAATCAAGAAACAGTAACAACAGAAAACGAAAGTTAAGAAAAGACGACCGACTCCGGCTCAAAGCATTTTAGTTTCAATACCACAATTGACCAATCAAACCAGGTCGAAAACTCTTTCCTTTTAAAGCCAAAAGGTTTCACCAAGCCCATCCGCTGGGAAAGAAACGGAAATGTCGCTAGAAATATTTCGGCAAAAACTAGCAGACTGTGGGAACTCCATTAACTCCATTAATAAATGACTATTCTAAATTCGAATAAGATCAAACGTTCGAGAATATTTAATCGATAACTCAGAAGATATGGGTTTTTGTGTCTATACCAATCACAAGATCTATGGTAAGATTTATCATCGTAAGGGACTGATTTCGTGACTTGATAACGCACAAAAGTCACGCAAAGCGTCACGTCACATAGCATCCCAAAAAAATTCACTGTTTGAGTTAGACCAGTATCCCACGAAGCAAGTTTAAGATTTTACAGCTAATCACGATCATGTTTTACACATAGTAGAATTACGAAACTTAACACAGATGACGAGATTTAAGGCTTAAGAGCTTTTATTGTTTTGAATGGAAAACAAATCGGTCTTTGTAAAATCTTTGGCGGTATTAAAAG